CCCTAATTTACTAAACAAAACTAAATGCCCTGACAAACAACATGATGGTGATTCGCTCTCAGTAGCCCATCTTCATCTTGAACGGAGCCCCCCTTTCGAAAACTGTTATGGACCGGAAAGGATTCGAATTCCCCTTCCTCCGTCCCCCCCCCCCTCCTCCCCCTCTCTTCACTTCTTACTTTTATACTTCTCCGGTGAAGAGTGCAGAATCCCTTTACCCATGCACTGTTCTTTAGTTTATCCATCTGCGATTCTTCCAAAAAAATCACCAACACTTCTTCTGCAGGGGCGCGAACATAAGTACAGGGTTTCACGAGCAAAGATACCCGGGTAAGTAGTAGGACGAGATCGTACACATACAAAAAACATATACAAAACATTAAACAGGATCTGTGCCACCTTTACCGGCTCGTTTATTGAGATCAAGATTTGCATAAGGCACCATTTTAGGATTTGTGCGTCCCACAAAATCTTTCCATTTTGACATTCGCTCCTTTTGATACTGCTCCATGAAGTAGTCATAGAGGTTCAATTTTTCTAAAAATAAAATACTGCAGTGGGATCCAAAGCTGCATTCCTGGAAATCAACAGACTGTAAGAAGGGAAAATACTTATTTTTTAAGTTCCATTATTTTCGCAAAAAATCCGTAGGTAACATTTTTCCGAAAAGAATAGAATCAAAGCATCTAATTGTTTTGCTTCAATCCAGAATGGCACTCTTTTCCTAATAATGATTTTTCTCCTGGAGTAATTTTTATTTGCCAGCCTTGAATTTGGAATTTATTAATCGAATTTGTACACTTTTTAACAAGATTCAACCAGTCTCGATCGTTTTCTAAGCCCTTCTGACTGGTTCTCAAGAAAGTTTTTGTGCAGAAACGCCTCAGCGCATAAAATCATTGAAAATATTTCGGACGAAAATGAAAAACATTTTTTTTTGCGTATTAATTTCCTTGATGGAAGAAGTCTTAACCTAGTTGTAAGACCCAAACAGAACATGCTAATAATCAGTTTGCCATTAAGTCAACCCGTCCCAAACAGCTATTGAAATAATACCTGTATGTGCGAAGGCTACTTCAAAAACTAGTCAAATTCACTCCGTCCTCCTACCTGAAAGAAATGAGGAAATCCTTAGTATGGAGCAATAACACTTCACAAGCACTAGCCACGCCCACACTAATATTTAAAGGATAGATACTGCTAGGGCGCAAAACCCGTGGAAAACCGGCCAGGAAGCCGCCACAAAGAAAAAGAGAGAGAGGAAAAAATCTTGCTATTCAAAGGCAGATACACAGTAAATGTGCTGCCAGGTCCAACCTGAAGCAGAAGTACCAGTGGTGTAGTGGCAAAATATTGTGTTCGGACGATTGGTTCGATTCCCTTCCGGTCCAGCATGATTTTTGGAGAACGAGCTTCGTTCATAATTGTCGTGTGGTCGGAACGATTTCTTTCTACTCATATTACGAAAATTACCCATTTTTTAACGTACCATTTGGTCCCCATGTATGCGCCGCTCTTCGCGGTTTTTTCGCCACAGGTGACATGCTCCGACTTTGCGAATCTTCCCCTTGTACGGCTGGATCTGCTTCTGCTTCTAATCTGTAAAGCGAAAAATTTCGTGCAACTAAAAGGGGGAGATTGAAAATAATTACAGAGGTGACCACGTCTAAACTGAAATCGCCCAAATAGTGCCCTGGAACAGTTGGCA